GTAAACATTTGTGTGCAGATTTCAGTGTGGAGGTAAATTTTTAACTCCTTAAATACCAAGGAGTGCAGTTGCTGTATGGTAACAGTATGTGTAGTTTTGCAAGAAACCGCGAAACTGTACCATTTTGTATTCTCACCAGCAGTGAGTGAGAATTCTTATTTTTCCACATCCTCAGCAGCAGTTAGTGGTGTCAGTGTTCCAGAGTTTAGCTAGGTGTGTAGAAATATCTCATTGTTTTAATTTGCATATCCCTGATGACCTGTAATGTGGAGCATCTTTTCATACGCTTATTTGCCATCTTTATATATTTGGTGGGATGTCTGTTAAGGTGTTTGGCCCCTTCCTTTTTTTAAAAAACTGAAGAATATTTGACACATAGTAAATTAGTTTTAGCTGTACAACATAGTGATTCCACAAGTCTATACATTATGCTCACCACAAGTGTAGCTACTATCGGTTACCATACAATGCTATTATGATACTATTTACTATATTCCCTATGCTGTGCCTTTTAAAAGATTTATTTATTTGAGAGAGAGAGGGCATGCGCGCATGAGCCGGGGGAGGGGCAGAGGGAGAAGGACAGAGCCAAGCCGACTCCACTGGATCTCAAGACTCAGATCAGGACCTGAGCCAAAACCAAGAGTCAGACGCTTAACTTACTGCTTCACCCAGGCACCCCTATGGGGTGTCTTGTCTCTCTGACTTATTCATTCCATAATAGGAAGCCTGTATCTCCTACTCCCCTAGTAGTCTCTCACTACGTTAGTGAAGGGTGTGGAGAAAAATGCATGTATTTAATTTGTGATACTTAACTGGGATCTGTCTTCAGCCTTTATCTCTCCTTCCACTCAGTTTCATAAGTGGAGTATAATGGACATAATTTTCTACTCTCATTATTTCTAATGTCAACCATAGCAGGATATTGAAATGTGGTAATACTCTCAAAGACTTTTGAGGATTTAAGTTTTTGTTCTTACTCCAAGTTGCCTTAAACTCATGTTTTTAAAATGTGTTTGCATTTTATAATTTATTTTCTTATTAACAGTGATCACTTTCATGAGGTTATTCTCTCATTTATTCATTTGTAGGTTCTAATCTGCTGTCAATTAGGAAATCAGATGACTAGATTTGTTAGAATTGTGGGTATAGAGCCCTAGTTCCTTCAGTGTGTAAATAATAAATATTCTTGACTTTTTGCTGCCTAGTGGCTTTTTTGATTAACTTGCCTGACTCATTTGATTGATACTAGTTGCTGGATTATGAGTCTTTATTAAGCTAGTAATCATTATAGTTTATTACCTTTTCTGTCTTGATAGGGTAACTTTCACCTAACCATCTTTTTTCTATTTTTTAAAAAGATTTTATTTATTTATTTATTTATTTGAGAGCGAGCATGCACTCACTTGCCCGTACATGAGCAGGGGTGAGGGGTAGGGGCAGAGGGAGAGGGAGAAGCAAACTCCCGGCTGAGCAGGGAGCCTGACCTGGGGCACCATCCCAGACCCCCAAGATCATGACATGAGCCAAGGCAAACACTTAACTGACTGAGTAACCCAGGCACCCCCTAACCATCTCTTTTAAAAAACGGGTTCATTTTACATTTGATTTTTTAAAGTTCTTTTTGGGGAATAATTTTTAAATTTGTAGAGAAGTTTCAAAGATGTTATACAGAGTTTCTGTATACCATTTATGCATCTTTCCATAGTGTTGGCACCTTATATGATCATAGTACGTTTGTCCAAAACTTGGAAATTAACATGAGTATAATACTCTTACCTAAACTACAGACTTTATTTGGATTTCCTTAGTTGTTTCACTGTCCTTTTTTTAATTCTAGGGTCCAGTCCAGGATACCACACTGCATTTGGTTGTTACATCTCCTTAGTCTCCTCTGATGTGTACAGTTTCTTAATCTTTCCTTGTTTTTCGTAACCTTGATGGTTTTAAAAGCATACTAGTCAATTATTTCATAGACTGTGTTTCAGTTTGAGTTTATCTGATGTTTTCTCAGGATTAAGCTGGCATTATGAGTTTTTGGGAAGAAGACCACAGAGCTGAAGTGGCATTTTCATCACATCATATTAAACAGTATATCCTATGAATAAGACATCACTTTTGATGTTAAAAGATTTTTCACTGTCAGTTTACTTTTTTCCCCTTTGTCAGGTCTTGGAAGTGAGTTACTAAGTCTGGTGTATACTAAAGGGAAGGGGAATTAAGTTTCACATCTTATGGGAAAGAGTTTGTGCCTCTATCATTTGGAATTCTTTTTTAAGGAAGATAGGTCTTGGGGTACCTGGGTGGCTTAGTTGGTTAAGTGTCTGCTCAGGTCATGATCTCAGGGTCCTGGGATCAAGCCCCACATTGGGCTCCCTGCTTGGTGGGGAGTCTGCTCCTCCCCCCTGCTTGTTCTCTCTCTCTCTCTCTCTCTCTCTCAAATAAATAAAATCTTAAAAAAAAAGGAAGATAGGTCTTTTCTCCCCATTTATTTATTTATTCAGTCATTTATGTTAGTATGGATTTGTGAATATTTCTTTTATTTTGAGGGTTATAATCCAGTACTGTTGTTTATTTTTGCTAAAATTGTTTCACCTTTGTTCAACTATTGGGAGGTTCAGTTTGGTTCCTGAAACCTTTTTGACATTACCCCATCTTTTAAAAAAATGGACCTCCTTATTTTCTGGCATACAGAATACTCTGGGCTAATCTTGTATTTTCTCTGCCCCATCCCTACAGTTAGTTATTTCTTCTAGGAGCCCAGGCTCCTTTTATTAGAGAATGGTATTTAGAAATCAAGATCTGGTTGTGAGTGTGCTTGTTGCCATTGGAATGTCAGTGTTTTCTAGATCCTCTCAGAGGACAAAGCCTTAGTTCTGTATACTACTAACCCATGGTACAAGACATACCTGTATATGTTCCTTTCATCTATCTGTATGTATATCAAAGAACTATGAGTTCATACTGATAACTCTTAACTCTAGTACCAGCAGAATGAATAGAATTCATTGTAGTTTTTTTCTGTTGCTTATTTGTAACCTCTTTCTCTGACAGGGAGAAACCTTGCTTCTATTATATACTATTTATTATTTGTCCAATCCCAGTATGCATGTGAAGAAGTTCCAGATTTGGTCATGGTGATTTGTTCCTTCCTATTTCATGATATTTTTGGTTGTAAACTCATATTCTTTGAAACTTTTTGAGGCTTGTACTGAAATTTTATATTTTTTTAGAGAGGATTTATATTTGATTCTGTTAGTCATGGAGAGGCTTTTTTTTCCTTGAAAAATAGCTTTTTATTGTGACAAAATATACATAAAGTTTACAATTTTAACTATTTTTAAGTGTACAATTTAGATTGTCATTAAGTACTTCAGTAATGTTGTAAACTATCACCACTACCCGTTTCCAGAACTTTTGCATCAACCCAAACAAAAACTGTGTACCAGTTAAGAAATAACTTTCCATTCTTCTCTTTCTTCAGCCCATGTTAACTTCTATCCTACTTTCTGCCTCTGAATTTGCCCATCCTAAATACCTCATTTAAGTGGAGTCATATAGTATTTGTTGTGTCTAGTTTATTTAACTCATTGTAATGTTTTCAAGGTTCATCCTTGTAGCATGTATCAGAATTTCATTCCTTTATGGCTGAATAATATTCCTGTGTGTGTGTGTGTGTACATGTACGTGCATACAGTACATTTTATTTATTAATGCGTCTTTTGATGGACATTTGGGTTGTTTTTACCTTTGGCTATTTTTAATGCGACTATGAGCATTGGTGTACAAGTATCAGTCCATGCTCTCAGTTATTTTGGGTATATACCTAGAAGTGGGACCTCTGGATCATAGGGTAAATTCTATGTTTAACTTTTTGAGAACTGCCATACTTTCCATGTTAGCTGCACCATTTTACATTCCCACCAGCAATGCATAGAAGTTCAGTTCCTCCACATCCTTACCAGTACTTATTATTTTATGTTTTAAAAAAATAATGGCCATTCTAATGGGTGGGAAGTAGAGTCTCATAATAGTTTTAATTTGCATTTCTCTAATGTTTAGTGATATTCAGCATCTTTTCTTGTGAGACTCTTTTAATTATAGGCTTTTCTGGGCCCAAACCTGAGTAATTATGAGCTTATGGTTAGGAATTCTTTAACCATGGGGTAAATATCAACCCTAAAATCCAGAGCAAAGACAAGACATCATAATTATTTCCACTGTTTTTCAGTTTTGTTTTTTTTTCCCCCCTTGTTCACCTAGTTGGAAGGTTGCCCTTCAGGTCTTCCGGTCTTCAGTCTGACCTCTCATCTTGCTGGCATCCCAAACTTGATCTTAAAGCCTCAGTTCTAGGACATCAAGTTTTTATCATATGACTCCAAGACAAATGCCAGCTTCAGAACTTCATTTATCTCTCTGAGTTCACACTTCCTAGTTGTTTATGGCTTCAGGGGGTTTTAGCCATGCACTTAAAAATTTTTTTAAACTTACTGTGAGAATGTTTGGTGTTCTGATCTAGAGAGTTTGCCGGGACATCAAGTTCACCACGTTGTCAATGCCGAAAACCTAGTTTCTCTTCTGTTAAGGCAGAGATGATTGACTGAAGTAACGAAAAGACTAGTGGTCTGGATATACTTCTCATAAATAGGGCAAGCTAACTAACGGGTACTAATTTCTAGGATCAGTGATTAAATATGGAGATACTGGATTGATTTTTATATAGTTCATACATAATCATATGCTTCACCCCATTTTTACTGTATCTTACTAGTTTGGGCTTCTTCTTGGTAACACACTCATGCATATGGACAACTGTAAATTTGTAAAAACAGATTTTAATGTGTTCTTTTTCATTTTAGAGGAAATAAGATATTTATAAGAAATAATCAAAAAGCAAGAAAATTAAAATTTAGACTAACCAAACAGCTTAGGAAATGCTTAATTTTATTTTATATTGAATAGCTCTATTGAATACTTATCTCAGTTTGTTTTTATTTCAGCTTTGACTAGATCAGAATCTAAGAGAGATGGAGGTTTTAAAAATAATTGGAGCTTTGATCATGGAGACGAAAGTGAAGGAGATACAGATAAAGAGTAAGAACTTTTTTTCCCCCCCTCAGATATTTTGTAAGAATGACATTTCATTAAAAAATGATTTATATACCATGGAAGTATTTAAGAGTATGGTATTTTTTACTTAAAAAAAAAATGTCTATTACAGTAGCATCAAGGGAAAAAATGCAGTTTTTCATTATTTTTGCTGTTATGTTTCTCCATGTTTTGAAATGTGTAAATATGTGCATGTGATACATATAATCTTACAATTAAAAATTGAGTATTGATTTTCAATTAAAGAAATTGGGCTTTTTTTTTTTTAATGACTTTCTGTTCAGGCAGTGATTTGAAAAGCTACCATTTATCATGAGTAAGTGAACCCAGATTAAAGCTCCTGAGTTTTGTGTGAAAGTTTAAGTCCTATAGTATCTTTCTTCATAGTTGTCCCATCCATCTTAGATTACATTACCACCAGAGAGAGCAGAAACAATTTAAATGATAAACACAGATGTTGATCCAGACAGAAGTTAAACAAAGTATTCATTACACTTTGTTAGTGTACTTGAAATGTCTGCTTTGTAAAATTTAAATGATCATTTTAATAGAACCTTATGCATACCGTGAAATTTGTATTGCAAATTCACCATTGCTATTAGGTGCCTTGATTTATTGATCTGGTTTTCCACTGGCTAGCACTAATTCAGAGATACACAAATATATATGTATATATAATATGCACATTATATATAAATACATATAGTTCTACCAAAACTATAAGTATTTTTTAAAATTTTTTACACAAGAAGTCATTCAGAGTATATTGACTGAATATTGTGGGAACTTCACTTCTGTCTGGGGAACAGCTTCGTTCATCATTACCACTTTTATGTGCCTTCATCTATGAGATATTGAACTTTTATTTGAAGGAGAGCTTTGAACTGGTAAGTTTCTCAGCTAAAATTGGTACTTTTGGTTGTCTTTCTCTTATTTTTTTTAATTTCTATTTTTAAATTTAAAATAATTTTTTATTACAGACAGTATTTATGTAGTTTTGAAAAATTGGAATTAAATCTGAAATTGAGTAGAAAGCATGTCACCTTTTAAACATTTTTGTAAAATGTTTGGAAGGAGAGAATTTTTAGTATTAAAAAAGTTGAGATGTGTATAAACAATAATGTAACAAACATTTTATATTTTTATAATAAATAGCTAGGATTTTACTAAAAATAGCTCTGCAGAGTTGTTTTTAGAAGAATGTATTTTGACTTTCTTTGTTAGATTTGTCATGATTATGTAAAAAAATTTGCATTTTAAAGTGTTACCTGTTCTACATATTTCATTTATGAATTACACTCTTCGGCTCATCATTATGAGGATCCTTAGGAGCTTCAGCTTTTTTAAGATCTTGAGATTAACATGAACTATTAATAGATATATATCAGTCTGATCTTTTAGAGTCTTAGGCCAATCATTCTAGTGTTGATATTTCTAAGAGTTGCAAAGGTATAACTATTTTACTGTGGTAACGCTATTGGAATTACTTTTTTTTCATCAGCTAAAGTATTCTTATCAGTTTTTTCTCTATTTTGTTTCTCTGTTCTTATCCCCTAATTTTAAATCTAAGACAGAAAGGAAAAATGAGTGACTATATATGAAATCTACAGTTAAGGAAACAAAAATTATATGTTTGTTTATAGCAGGGGTCAACAAACAATAGGTCCATGGGCCCAGTCTGGCCCACCATTGGATTTTGTTAATAGTTTTATTGTAATACAGCCACACATATGATCCATGGCTGCTTTCATACTAAAATAGTAGAGTAGTTAGTATAGAGACTGTATAGCCTACAAAGCTTAATTTACCCTTTATAGAAAAAGTTGGCTGATCCCTGAATTGGGTAAGCAAAGAGAATAAAACTTCTGAATTTAATGTATGGGTTGTAATTGTCACTTAAGATTTTTTTCCCCTTTATTTTCTATGTAGTGAGGCAAATCTACTCAGTGTCGATGAAGATGAGGATTCCGAGACCTCAAAAGGAAAAAAGGCAAGTGTTGCTTTTCTGACTTTTTTGGGTAGATTTTTTAGGTTATATACTACAAACTAATACTTCAAGAGGATTTTTATATTTTTTAATTGAAATTCCCAACCACCCACTTCCACACCGGAGGCTAGTGGTGTTCCCAGTGTCTTGTTTATTCCATCATAGATTTTATGCATTACAAAGAAAGTATATATATTCTTGCCCTACCCTCTTATATTAACAAAATTAATAGCATACTGTACACAATTTTTAATCTTTTTAAAATTAATGTATCTTAGAGACCATCCATAAGAGTCCATTAAAAGCACCCTTGTTCTTTTACCTTGTTCTCTTCCACTACTAATAAACTACTGTTTTTTAAAAAATTACATGGTTTAGCCTTTCATTGTTCTTTTCTTTCATTTTTAATAGAATATACAACCCTTCTCAGAGAAATTATCCACACTGTTTGGTACCTTGATTGTTTTGCTTAACAGTATGGTCTGTGGATCACTCCACTAGCAAAGTACTTAGAAATCTTTATTATCTCTTTTATTGTTACATAGTACTCCAGTGACTGGATGAACAGTGGATGTTTAGTTGGTTCCCTAGTGATGAGCAGAGGTCTTTCCCAGTCTTTTGTTATTGTAAGCAGTGCTTTAATAAAGCCTCATGCTTATGTTTTTTCATACCTTTACAGTATATTTGTGGAATAGATTCCTAGAATTGCAGTTGCCATTTCAGAGGGTAAATTTACATGTAGTTTTGCTAGTTATTGCTGAATGCCTTATTCATAGGAATTAGCATTTGCCATTCCCATTAATAGTATATGAGAGTTCCTGTTTCTTTGTAATCTTGGGAAGTATGTGGTCAGACTTGAATTTTTACCTATCTGACATAGCACCTTCTTCACATATTTTCTATACTTACAGTAGAATAATACTTTAAGGTCTTCTAATTTCCTCTCCCCCATCTTTGTGGGCGGGAGTTTCTCCCACAACATCTCTATTTTGTTGTAACTAAGGGAATTTGTAGAATTTGAAGTTTTTCTCTTAGTACTTTAAAGTTCTCGTTTATAAAGTTACATTGAAAAACTATACGGTTTTTCATATTGCAGTTTTCTTTAGTTTTTATTTTAACATCTTGATTGCTTAGAGTGCTGTTTAGGTGTTCTTCAAGCGGACAGAAATATAGTGTACTTTGCGGGGAAAAATAAAAGGCATTTTTAATTACTAACTTCTGTGACATTGGTTGTCAATTTGTGTTTTTTTTTTCTTGAAGATGCCCTTAAATTAAAAAAATATATATACCTTATACATTTTTAAGGATGTAAGTGTTGATATTTTAAAATAAAATTTAAATGATATTTATGTTTATCCTAGTGATCTCTAAAGATAATTCGATTTGATACTCAGCATCATCTATTTTAAAAATACATGTACCATCTCCTCTCTGACAGTTGGAAATTTTATATTGTGCCTGTTTCTCCTTAAATTCATATTTCTGTTCAATTTTCCCATAGAATTTTAATTTCATATATGTATTTTTTGTATATGTATTTTAAGTTCATATGATGTCTTTTTATGCAATTGAAAGTTTTAATTACTCTGTCACACTAATAGATACACATTTATTGAAATTTAACATTAAATAACTGTCACTACAAGGTTCTAAGTATTTCTTTTACTGGATTGAGTTATTCTTATAATTAAACATTTAATCCAAAAATATAGATATTTGTAATTATTAAACTTATGTAAAATTATATTGGAAATGTATTTCTTAAAATGGGTGGTGCTGATGTTTTCCTTCTTTATTCATTTGGTTCAAATATCCATGAACAAATATTATTTAAGGCTAGAATAAAACTTTCGGTAGCAATTTTTTTTTTAAGATTTATTTATTTTAGAGAGAGTGTGCGTGTGCGAGCAAGCATGGGGGCTGGCAAAGGGAGAGTCTCATGCAGACTCCTCACAGAGCCCAGGGCTTGATCTCACAAGCCTGAGATCATGACCTAAGCCAAAACCAAGAGTTGGACACTTGACCAGCTGTACCACTCAGGCACCTGGCAGTTTTCTTTTTAAACTTTTTTTTTATAAATGCTGAGAAATCTTGGTCATATAATAAATAGATAAGGATAGAGTTTTGCTATAGCATTATCCTTCAGTTCTTTCCGTTTGAATTAAATGCCAAAAATCACATAGCAATACAATATTTAAAAGTTAAAAATAATTTGTGATCCAGTCATTAGAGTCATTGCCCTTCTGAATTTGGGGAAAGTATCTTAAAAAGGCTTTGTCAGACTTAGTAATTATATTTGCTACTTTGAGAAATAATTTAAAAAATTGAAATCTTGTTAACTGCAGGATGCCTTTGATAATATATTTTTTTGTGAAATATTTTATAAATTTTGTGTATTTTTTTTAAATGTTGGAACTGCATATTCATTTGTTCTATGGAAAATATCTATATATAATTTATTTGACAAGGCCAGTCCATATAGTCCTGCCAGTCAATTAAATTAGAGATACTAATTATCTGTAAATGTCTGTTTTCATTTTTCACTTCAAGTAAACATGTGAATTTGTATCTTTATGACAACCATTTCATTTCACTTCAGAATTCTAAGGTAGAAAAAGACAGCCTTGGTTTTGACCTGAGTTTGTTACTTGGTTGTCATAAGGCACGGCAGATTTCAGTCTTGTTTTAAAAACTTAGGCTTTCTTTGAGTTCTTCTCACTTGATTTTCTCCTTCGGGCAGTGTTTTTCTTGATTATAATTGGAATAGAATATACAAAACCAGTAAGTGCAAATTTTTATCACTTTTGCTTTCGACTTTGCAGTAATTTAAATTAAGGAAATCTAATAACCTTGGTCTATTCAGAATATCCAGTTTCTAACCCATAGTTAGAAATATGTATATTCTAACAAATATTTCTAAAACAGGGAAAGATGTGAAGACTACTACTATTTTTTGTGTCAGAAGAGATTCCAGTATTTCCAGTTGTTCCTTTTAGGAGGTTTTTTAGATTCTAATGCAATAGGTGAGAATTATGTCTTTCTTTTGTAAAACAGATAAAGGTCTATTGGGAAAGGAGATACTGTATGATGCCTTTTCTACAGATGGGTTTTAAAGTAAATGAATTTTAAGAAAGTGTAAAAATGGAGATTGAGGATTTAGGAATTGATTTGCTTAAAACTGTCCATGCCTAGGGGCGCCTGGGTGGCTCAGTTGGTTAAGTGACTGCCTTTGGCTCAGGTCATGATCCCAGGGTCCTGGGACCAAGCCCCACAAGGGGCTCCCTGCTCGGGGTTGGGGGGGGAGACCGCTTCTCCCTCTCCCTCTGCCTGCCACTCCCCCTGCTTGTGAGCTCGCTCTCTCTCTGTGTGTGTTAAATAAATAAATAAAATCTTAAAAAAAAAAAAACCTGTTTGCTTCTGCATTTCATTGTGCCTCTTTAGATAAGGGATACATGTCTTTCATTAGTTCTGGAAAAATTTTAATCATTTTATCTGTGGATATTACCTTTCCACATTATTCCTTCTGGAATTTTTATTAGAATTAATAATATCATCATTTTTTTTCATGTCCTTTAACCTGTCTTTTATAAACAAAGGGGAAAAAAGGGGGGGGTGCCTAGGTGGCTCAGTTGTTGAGTGTTTGCCTTTGGTTCGGGTCGTGATCCCGGAGTCCTGGGATCGAGTCCCTCATCGGGCTCCCTGCTCGGTGGGGAGTCTGCTTCTCCCTCTGACCCTCACCCCACTTGTGCTCTCTCTCTCTTAAATAAATAAAAAATCTTAAAAAAAAAAAAAAGGATAAAGGGCAAAGAACAAAATCATCCCTATACCATATTCTAGGTAATTCCTCAGCTCTGTTTTCTAATTCACGAAGTTTTGTCTTTATCTTTGTCTAATCTGCTATTTAATATTTCTGTTGCATTCATCTTTTTTTCTTTTTAAAAAAATTTTAATTAATTATTTTTTTAAATAGGCTCCACACCCAGCCTAGAGTCCAACACGGGGCTTAAACTCATGACTCTGAGATTAAGACCTGAGTGGAGATGAAGAGTCAGGCACTTAACTGACTGAGCCACCCAGGTGCCCTTTAAAAAAAAAAAAAAAGGCATTTATCATTTGTAGAACTTCTATTGGTTCTCTTTCAAAATTCTGTTTTTTCCCTAGCGTCTAGTTCTTATTGTTTCAATATCCATTTTATTTTTAAGAATTTAAATCTTTAATATACCTTTTACATGTCTATTTTTTTTAAAGATTTTATTTATTTATTTGACAGAGAGAGACAGCGAGATTGGGAACACAAGCAGGGGGAGTGGGAGAGGGAGAAGCAGGCCTGCTGCTGAGCAGGGAGCCCGATAGGGGGCTCAAACCCAGGACCCTGGGATCATGACCTGAGCTGAAGGCAGACGCTTAACGTACACGTCTAATTATTTAATAGATTCTTTTTTTAATAGATTCTTTTAGGTTATCTTATTATCTGAAGTTCTTAGGTGCTAATTTCCTGAATACTTGTTCTTTAGTTAAATTGACTTATTTGATGTGTGATAAGTTTGGATGGATGATAACCACATATTGATAATTTTTACACATTTCACAGTCCCTGTTAAATATTTATTCATGTAGCAAATATGTATCCATCACAGTGTTCCACATGCTAGTGAGCAAAATAGACAAGTTTCTTTTTCCTTTGGAGCTAAAATTCTAGTAACTGACTATACTTACTTGTTACTTAATGAGTAATGTTACAATACAAAGTTGGCAAACTAAGGCTCATAGGCCAAATCTGGCCTACAACCTTTGGCCTAAGAACGATTTTTGAATGGTTTCCCCCAAAGTCAAAAGAATGCTATTTTATTACATGTGAATATTACATGAAATTCAAATTTATGTTCATAAATAAAATTTTATTGGAAAACGGCTGTGTTCCTTTGTTTATGTATTGTCTATTACTGCTTTCATGCCACAACACAGATTTGAATTATTTGGACAGAGTTGAGTAGTTTCAATAG